TATGAGTTGCAGACAACTCGACAGCACAAAACAACAACAACAACAACAACAACTATATTTTAAGAAAAAGTTTGTAATAACATGAGAAAGTTTTTAGTGATGTTGTTTTTCCTAAGGTCCACTGGGTCCAGAATGACTCACAGTAACCCTATTAACAATAGATCTGAACTCTGTCCTATCCAGTACTAATCATTTTTTATTTGAGTACATTTCCACAGGCACTGTATCAATTCTTCTCATTTAAGGTCTTCCTCACCTTTGCTAATCTTTCACCTTTCCATGTATGAAGTCCCTTTCCAAACAATAATCTCTTCTAAAAATATGTTCACAATATGTGAGATGAAATTTGACCATTTTTATCTCCAAGGAACATTCTGGTTGTATTTTCTCCAAGAGGTGTCTGTTTGTTCTTTTTGTAGCCCGTGGAATATTTAGCACTCTTCTCCAACACAATAATTCAAACGCATGGATATCTTTTCTTGGTTCTGAGTGTGGCAACAGGATTGGAGGAAGGTTCATCAACAACCTGCATTATGCAGATGACACAACCTTGTTTGCTGAACATAAGGAGGATCTGATGCACTTGCTCAGAGGATCAAGGACTGCAGTCTTCAATATTAACACATCTCAACATCAAGAAAACAAAATCCTTATCACTGAACCAATAGGCAACATCATGGTAGATGGATAAAAGATTGAAATTGTTAATTATTTCATCTTGCTTGCATCCACAGTCAACACCCTTGGTACCAGTAGTCAACAGATGAGATTTATAGCATTGGAAAAGTCTGCTGTCAGGGATTGCTCCAAAGTCCTAAAGAGCATGATGTCAATTTAAAGAATATGATGTGCCTGATCAAGCCATAGTCTTTCCGATCTTTTGCTATCCATTTGGAGTTAAAGTCATGTGTAGGGATACTCTAACTCTGGAGTTAGAGTCTTACATTGTTGCTGCTGTTGTTGATTGCTGTCAAGTCGAGCATGACTCATGGTGACCCCATGAAGCCTTTCTATAACTATCGACATTTATAAAAGTTCATAGAATTTCTAGAGGCATGTTGTTTAGGAAGTGAAATACATGATCTATGAGCATAACTATGTAAACCAATAAGTAAACAGAAAATAAGAATAGAAAAAAATTAAAGACATCAAAATGTTAAAAAGCAAGTGTCTATGTGAGGCTATGTTGTTGTTGTTGTTATGTGCCATCGAGTCGCTTGCAACTCAGAGCGACCCTATGTACAACAGCCCTAAACTCTGCTCTATCCTGTGCCAATCGCACCATCTCTGACACACCCATCCCCATTACCCCAATCACTGAATTAATCCACCTCGTAGGCTATAAGTGGTTCTTTTATTCTAATTTATTTCCTATGCTTCACTTTAAGAAATGATAACATTTTTATAATTGTAAAATTTCAAGACATGTAGCCCAAAACTCCACTATGTCTTCTCTGCTTTCACTTGTCTTTATTAACCTGTTAAAAGTTTTAGCCACAGTGAGAAACCAGTTATTTACTATTTACTATTTACTCTAAAATTATACTTAACACTGAGTGATAGCCATGCACTATTCATATTTAAGGAACATCTTTTTACATAGATATTTTTCTTGTTCCAATAAAGAAATAGATGATTGAGGAGTTTAATGACTAGCCATACATAAAAGACAGTGAATGAAAGAGCTTAAGTTCAGTAAAATTCTCTCTGACTAAAATACATCAACAGGCACTAGAGTTCAAATTACATAAATACTCCACCAGATGCTCTGCTGGTGAAAGAAGGACAATCTCCTCCTGTACCAGTCAGATCTGATTTGATGGTACACACACACAAAAAATAATTTAAAAAATAACTAATTACATAAATACTTCCAGCAGTCAGTGACTCATTGTGTATCAGATTTAAAGAAGAAAACATTTTTTCATTTGTTTTATTTTGGGTAATTTTTTAAAGCTTTTTATTTTATTCTGGTTTTCTTACAAATTCTGTATACATTGTTTTCCACATTGGATCTTTCCTATTTCCTTAACCCACTCCTCCCTCTACCCATCAAAATAGGGTGTGACCCTATGAGTACATGCACACCTATCCTCACCCTGTGCTCCCACCCCCCCTTAGATACTCATGAATACTTTACTAGTTATCTATTTCTACAATAATGGTTTTATACTGTATTTCCTGAGAAAATTAGAACTAAGGCCCTGAGACTTGCACACCAATGTGCATAGCAGTGTTATTCACCATCTTAAGAACATGGAAATAGCTCAGATGTCCAACGACAAACGAATGAATTGAGAAATGATGGTACATTCACACAATGTAATATTTATGGAGCAATGATTTTGTAAATTATTATCTAACTTGGGAGGGACTGGAGAGCATTATGCTGAGTAAACTAACTCAGTCCCATAAGGACAAATACTGTATGAGAAGGAAATATTTTAATCAATTGAGAGACGATTTTCAGCATTTGGAGGCATATAAGGAAAGATAGCCATTTCGATTTACTGGAATCCACAATCAGCATCCAAAGTAACATCAATCAAGAAAACAAAGCATGTTGCACTGGCAAAATCTACCCTCATGGACATCTTTAAAGTGCTAAAGATAAAAAGACATCAGCTTGAAAGAACCAAGTATGCTTTAATTCAAGCTATAATATTTTCAATTGCTTAGGTGTTCCTTAGGTAGCTTTGGTGGCTTAATGGTAAGGAGTTGAGCTGCCAATCCAAAGGAATACAATTAGAATCCACTAGTTCCTCTACCAGAATACCAGAAGAATGTCTATCTGTGCTTCATTGACTATGCAAAGGCTTTTGACTCTGTGGATCACAACAAGCTATGGCTGACTCTGAGAAGAATGGGAATCCCAGAATATTTGATTGTGCTAATATGAAACTTATACTTGGACCAAGAGGCAGTTGTCAGAACAGACCAAGGAGACACTACATGGTTCAAAATCAAGAAGGGGGTTCGTCAGGGATGTATTCGGTCTCCATACCTTTTCAATCTGTGTGCAGAACAGATCATCCGAGACGCTGGGCTATACGAAGAGGAATGTGGCATCAGGATTGGTGGAAGAATCATCAACAACCTGCGTTATGCAGATGACACAACTCTGCTTGCTGAAAATGAGGAGGACCTGAAGCACTTGCTGCAGAAGATCAAGAACTACAGCCTCCTATATGGACTGAAGCTCAACGTCAAGAAAACAAAAATTCTAACCACTGGGCCAATTGGCAGCACCAGCATGGATGGTGACGAGATTGAGATAGTTAACAGCTTTAATTTACTTGACTCCACAGTCAACACTCTTGGTAACAGCAGCCAGGAAATCAAGAGGCGAATTGCATTGAGAAAGTTGGCTGTGAGGGACCTCTCAAGAGTACTGAAGAGCAAAGATGTCAGACTGGAGACTAAGGTGTGCCTGATCTGGGCTATAGTCTTTGCAATTATGTGCTATGCATCAGAGTTGGACAGTGAATAGGGTTGATAGAAAGAGGATTGATGCCTTTGAGCTGTGGTGCTGGAGACGACTGTTGAATATACCATGGACTGCTAGGAGAACAAACAGGTTTGTCCTAGAAAGGGTGAAGCCAGAGTGTTCCCTGGAGTCAAGGATTCTGAAGCTTTGTCTGACATATTTTGGGCATGTTGCAAGGAGGGACTGGTCCTTGGAGAGGGACATCATGTTTGTCATGTTTGGCAGAGTGGAGGGGCGGCGAAGGAGAGGAAGACCTTTGATGAGATGGATAGATTCTGTGACTGGAGCGGTGGGAATAAGTGCGTTTGAGATGGCTAGGTTGGCACAGGATAGAGCAGCATTTAGAGTTCTTGTACATAGGGCCGCTATGAGTCGCAAGCAACTAGATGGCACATAACAACAACCGTTCCTCCACGGAAGAAAGTTGAGCAATCTCCTCCTCTGTGATTCAACTGCCTCTAAAAAGCCACTGGAGGTTCAGCGATGAGTCGGTTCTGACCAGACAGGGCATAACAAACAAACTGCAGGGTCTCTCTAGAGGCAAAAGTAGTGCAACTTCAACTCATATACATTGTACATGTGGTCAGGAGTCCTTGGAAAAACACATCATCTGGGAAAGGTGAAAGATAAGAGGAAGAGAGGAAGACTCCAAGAAGATTAATTGACACAGTGAATATAACAGGCTTGAGCGTATCAGATAATAAGGACGGTGCGGGATAAGGCAAGGTCCATATCTGTATTCACAGGGTCACTATGAGTTGTAGTTAACACACATATGTAACAGTAACAACAAATTATGTATCCTAAAGTTGGACAATGAATAAAAGACCAAAGAAGAATTGATGCCTTCCTTTAATTGTGGTGCTTGCAAAGAGTATTGCATATCTCATAAACTCAAAATAACAAATCTGTCTTGGAGGAAGTGAGGATGATGAAATTTCAATTCACATACTTTGGGTATATTTTCAGGAGGGACCAGACCTAGGAAAAAGACATAATTTTGGGAAAGTAGATGATAAATGAAAGAGAAGCCACTCAACAAGACAGATTGACACTATGACTGCAACAATGAGCTTAAGCATTATGAATATCATGAATATAGCACAGGACAGGGCAGGGTTTTCTATCTGTTGTTCACAGGGTCACTATGAGTACTAGCTGACACTACAACACATAACTACAATAAGGAAAGACATCTTCTGATCAAAAAAGAAACTATAGAATGAATTTAATAGGGCTTGCAAACAAATGAAGGAGAATGTTAAAAACTTTTTCAACAAAATTGCAAGCATCTCATGAACCCCAAATTGGGTCAAATAATTTGACTAGTTGCTGAATAGATGAGCTTTGTGAACAACTAGCCTGAGGAGAGAGAAAGAAAGAAAGAAAGACATTTGTAGCCTAAAGGAATAAATGAGCCCTTCAGTTTAAACTCTGACACTCATTCCCTTTCTTTTCAGACTCAGGCTGGTGTGCAAGGCTCAGAGCATCCCCAGCATAGGTCAGAGGAGCCATGAGGAACAGCACCACTGTCACTGAGTTTGTCCTGCTGGGCCTGTCAGGGGCCTGTGAGCTGCAGATGCTCATCTTCCTGGGCTTCCTCCTCACCTACCTCCTCACTCTGCTGGGGAACCTCCTCATCGTGGTCATCACCCTCCTGGACACACGCCTCCACACAGCCATGTACTACTTCCTCCGCAACTTTGCTGTCCTGGAGATCTGGTTCACCTCTGTCATTTTCCCCAAGATGCTCACCAATATCCTGACAGGAGAAAAGACTATCTCCCGAGAAGCCTGTTTTCTCCAGGCTTTCTTTTATTTCTTTCTGGGCACCACAGAGTTCCTCCTTCTGGCTGTGATGTCTTTTGACAGGTATGTGGCTATCTGTAACCCCTTACGTTATGCCACCATCATGAACAAAAGGGTCTGTGTGCAGTTGGTCCTTTGTTCATGGGTGACAGGATTCCTTCTCATCATTGTTCCAAGTTTAATCACATTTCAGCAGCCATTCTGTGGCCCTAATATCATTAATCATTTCTTCTGTGACAACTTCCCACTCCTGGAACTCATCTGTGCAGACACAAGTCTGATAGAGATTCTGGGCTTTATTGTGGCCAACTTCAGCTTACTGGGAACTCTGTCTGTGACGGCCACCTGCTATGGCCACATCCTCCACACCATCCTACGCATCCCCTCAGCCAAGGAGCGACAGAAAGCCTTCTCAACCTGCTCCTCTCACATCATTGTTGTGTCTCTATTCTATGGCAGCTGTATCTTCATGTATGTCCGATCAGGTAAGGGCAGCCAGGGGGAGGACAGAAGCAAGGTGGTGGCCCTGCTCAACACTGTGGTGACTCCAATGCTCAATCCTTTCATCTACACTCTGAGGAACAAACAGGTAAAGCAGGTGTTTAGGGAGCAGGTGAGCAAACTCCTCTCATAAAAATAAGCTGGAACTAAAAGGGGAAAACAGCTTCATTATTTAAACTTCCACAAATGACCTCCATGACCCCTCATATGGGTCTTGACTGGATCTAATCCATGTTTGTCTCATATATATACACATTATTGCTTATTTAATATGTCTTAAAAATACATAAAATTAAATATGCCATAATGTTGTATAACCCAGCTTGTAACTAATTTTTTTTACTTGGTCTCATTTTGAAAGCTCTTCATTGACAAGATTTCCTTTTTCATAGAATTGTTAAAACTTGATATAAATAGGAAGAATATATTTATGTTATATTTATAAAACATTAACTATGTATGAGAAACTGCTTAAGTTGAAATGGTCAAGATTATTATTTAAAAAAGCATCAGATATTAAAACACTATGCCAGAATCAACAAACAAAACAATGGAACTAGATCTATAATCTTGAAATATAGTGTAGTACATACAAAGATCTAATAGATGATAAAAGTAGATTTCTAAAGAATAGAAAAATTTGATAAATTATGCCAAGATCATTGACTAATTACAGTAGAAGCCTTCCTTCCAAATAGATTGGAACTAGTATTTAGTTAGTTAACTGGGAGGTTAAAGAAAAATAACATAAAAATGATAAGTGCCTTAAATGTGTTGTTATAAATTAAAACCTATAAATACATATTCACTCAATAATCTAAATGTGCCATATTCTTTGAACATTAATCTTCTTTTAGTATTTAATGTTTCAATCGCATTCATAATACACCTTCTATACTATTATCTGGTGGCTTACTGGTAAGGAGTTGCTCTACCAATCTAAAGATACATGATTCAAATCCACCAGGTGTTCCATGGGAGGAAGATGGACAATCTCCTACCATGCAATTTACTGTCCCTGGAGAATTTACAACACACTGGAGAATCAGCTATGTTGATCCTGACTCAACTGTACATAACAAGAGCAATACTAATATTCAGGATTTGTTTTAATAGTGCAAAATTTTAAACATGCATGAGAAACTATGTATGAGTAGGCTCCAAAAATTTTTACTCTTTATGTATTTGTTTGTTTGCCAGTTCTTGCCTACACTTAATTCAATATTGATTTTTCTATGCTTGCCTTTACAGAATCTATTGAAAAGAATCAAATGTATTTTTACAGACACTATTTTTAAAATTTTTATTTATTTGAGTGAAGGTTTACAAAACTACTGCTAGTCCTTACAAGCATTCATAGACATTTTGTTTTATATAAACTAATATTTTTATAATATTATAATTTCATAATAATGATTAATTAATTACAATGTCTAATCAACCCCTCTGGAAACTCTATAAACTCTTTTATAAATGAACAGAAATTATGTTAATTGTAGAACGGAGTCATTTGGGCAAAGCTTACTCAGAGTCATATTCGACTCAACAACACTTAACCACAGCTAAATGAGACTAGTGCTGTTATATCTGTAGGAACATTCTTCCACTTTGCACATCACTCTTTGTCAATGTGCTGTATGAGGTAATCCTGGGTTTGCTGTGATGCTGAACCTTGTGTCATGGGGATATCAAATATCATAATGGTTTCCCGTTATGGATAGTGTTTGGTGGAGCTCCCAGTTGTAAAATAGGTTGGGAAGCAGTAGTAGCATCCACTTCATAAACCACATGGCCTCTGGAAACTCTCTAAACTTGGAGAAAACAACGATAGCTATGGAAAGGCATTAGGTCTTTTTTTCATAGAGTCACGAGGAGTCGACCTCAACTCGATGGCAAACAACAACAACAACAATCAACCCTTTATTGCACATATTGACTTTCTCTTTACCTAACTTATCTATTTATGACTTTTTCATATTCAATTATCTTAGTTAAAATATGAAATTACAATAATGTGAAACCAAACCAATTGACTTTGAGTCAATTCTGACTCATAGTGACCTTCCAGCAGGTTCTAAGGATGTAGCTCATTACTGGAAAAGACTGCACATCTTACTCTCACAGCAGCTGGTGAATCTGAACTGCTGACAGTTGGTTGGCAGTGCAACTCCCAGCACACTATGAAACCAGATCTCCTGCAATTACAGTGACAAGTCCAATTATCAAACAGAAATTTGGAAACAAATTATCAACTGATTCTTAGTACAAGTCAACCTGCAGGATGAGAAAATAGACATGAGGACTACACAAGTCTATGGACTACAACTTGATTTAGACATTAATCCATTTGAGAGATGCTGTAACACTGAGGTTGAGAACACAGCTATGAGAAGCTTACTCCTTGGACTCAAATTCTTTGAATCCCCATAATAGTCATCTATTAATGATCTTGAGCAAGCAAGACCTCTCTCTGCATCTCAATTATTCATAAGGTAAAAACAGTAGTACTTATTACAATCCTCCTATACATTAAGTTAATTAATATATGATAAAATGCTCAGAATATTTGTTGGTACAGAGTATCATATTGTCAAATATCATATTTTGCAAAAGGAATTATAAGCTATGAGAAGTGAGGATAAATTAGTAAATTATGAAATCTATTATCTTAAAGAAAAAACTTAGAGCCTCATGTGCTATCTAAAATGAAAGGAATTATAAATAACATAATATTAAAAAGAAGAAAATGTAGGTAAACTTTTATATAATCTAAGATGTGTAGAGAATAGTTTTACTAATGAAAAATATAAATTAAAAAATTTATACACTTGGCTCTGTAAAATTCTAGACTTTTTATGTCGGAAAACAAAAACAAATGGTACAATGGCCACATGTAGTTTCTACCTGTCTGGTATCTATGTCTAAGTTTTTCAGCCTTTTTTAGTAGTTAAAAAAAAATATATATATACACACACACACATACATATTATATATATATACACATATTATATGTATACACATACACATATTACATATTATATATATATATATACACACATACACATATTATATATATCCACACATATAATCAAAAGAGGTATTGCATTAGGTAAATCTGCTGTCAAGGATCTTTCTAAAGTGTTAAGGCATAAGGATGTCATTTTAAAGACTAAGGTACACCTGGTTTAAGCCATAACCTTTTCAATTACTTGTTATGAATCTGAGAACTGGCCACTCTATAAATATGACAGAATAAGAATGTATGCCTTTGAGTCATGGTGTTAGAGAAAAATACTGAATACCTCATGGACTGTCAAAAGAAAAAAATAAATATGTCTTGTAGAAAGTGCAATCAGGGTGCTATTCAGAGGCAAGGATGGTGAAACTTTGTCTCATATATTTTGAGCATGTTTTTAGGACGGGGAGTCCTCGGGAAAAGATATCATGCTTGAAAAGATGGAGGATCAGAGAAGGAGGAAGACCCTCAATAAGGTGAATTGACACAGTGACTGTAACAATAGGCTCAAGTATTAGAGATGATGAGGATGGCACAGGATAAGGCAGGGTACAGATCTACTGCTCACAGGTCCCTATTATCATAGTCAGCGTGTCAACATAAGCTTCATCTTACTTATTTCGGACATGTTGTGAGGAGAAGCTATTTCTTGGAAAAGGACATCATCCTTGGAAAGGTGGAGGGTCAGTGAAGGAGAAGAAGACCGTCAATGAGATAGATTGATGCAGTATGTGCAGCAATGGACTCAAGGGTATCAGGGATGATAAGGATGGCTCAGGATAGGACAGCATTCAGACCTACTGTTCATGGGGTTACTGTGAGTTGTACTCGACTCAATGGCACTTAAGAACAGCAATATATACATAAGGTAGCCCTGGTAACTTTGCAGGTAAGGAGTTGCGCTGCCAACTCAAAGGCATGCAGTTCAAATTCACCAACTTCTCCGAGGGTGAGAGATGGACAGTCATCTCCAATGTAATTTATAGCTTTCAAAAACCCATTGGAAGGGTCGGCTATGAGTTAGTACCTATAGACTGTAATGAGTTTGAGGTTTTTAGATGTAACAAAGCACTTGCCATTTTAACATTCTTCACAAGTACAATTTAGTGACATTATTTGTGTTCATTATGTTGTGCAACCATCACCATTATCTATTTCCACATTTCCTTTACCTTAACAACTACAACAAAGCTCTGTGTCCACTGAACATTCCTTATTCTTAAAACAATATACTACTTATCTTTCTCAGGGAAGACCCTTACCTTTGTTAGTTTGTGTGGCTAGAGTGTTACTGACTTCAGCTCCAACCAATCAGAACATGGCCATGGGATGGCCAAATTACTAAATCAAGTCAACGAGATTCAGCAAGTCTCAATTCAGGGGACTTACTGGAAATGATGAAAGAGAGACTTACTATATTGAACTTAAGCAGAGAGAAAGTAAGTTTAAGGAGTATATACTACCTCCCAAAGCACTTAGTGAAGCTAACAAAATCTTGATACTAAACTTGATAACACATTAAAATATTGAAAAATTACAAATCAGACTTTCCCCCATACATGAAGACAAAAATCCTATATATCAACAAACTCAACGAAATCCTATATAAGAACAACAAATCACAATAAAGTGGAACTTACTCAGAAATGCAAAACTGGTTATATATTTGAAAACTAATCAGTATAACCCATCAGATCAACATAATAAAGAAGAAAAATCATATGATACTTCATTAAGTGTAGAATTTTTTTAATTCAGCAAATATTTTTTAAAAATTAAAATATCCTTTAATTAAAAGAATATTTGAAACCTACTGAAAGGTAACTAAAGAAATCTCTTCATGATAAAATGTTCACAGATAACTTGTGAAATAAGAAATTAATCAAAGACTAACACTATCACTGTACTTTTCTACTAGTTTTCTTATATAAGCAATACAGCAAGAAAATAAATCAAAGGACTAAGTAGTAAGAAAGGCAATACAATCATAACTGACTTGATTGTTTATATAGAAGATATAAAAATAAATTTAGTGCCACCCAAAGGTAATAAAGGAGGTCAGAATTGCTTCCACTGTGAAAAGCTGGGCCACTGCAGTAGACAGTGTCACAGATGAG